CTTGAGACTGGCTGTAGTCAGGCTGCTAGGGCTAGCTCTGTCCACGGCAATTCACCCCTCCCAGGTCTACAGCTCCTAGGTATTTTCCGCCTCCTGAGGGAATTCTCCACTGCAGGTATCTAGATTTTCAGCTCTGTCCCTGTTTTCTCAAGTCCTTCAGACCTTTTCCTCTCTCCTCTACTGGCTGACCAAGCTAGTTCTACTTATACATTGAAGGGGGAATTGCAAAATCTAACTTCTATCAAAGTTTGCTAAAGGGTTCAATAGGATTACTACATTCTTCCTGTGGTCTGATTGGTTCCTCTCTAACTAGGCTAAGGGACCAATACGAGAAAATGGAATCAGGTCAAATTTCACCCACCCCTTTCCACTATATTGGTAGACCTGGCCTCAGTGTCAGACATTTGGCGGGTACAAGCTTAATATAGTGAAATTTAAAGAAAAGTTCCTTCCCTAAGCACATGTCACACTCACACCATGCCTAGCATTGTCATCCCAAAAGATAAATGTCTTGGTTATCTATATTCAGGGCTGGCACAGAGAGCTTGTTCAAGGACACCTTCCCTTGGGAAAAGAAAGAGAAGGGAAGGAGGATGACTTGGAAAGTTATGTCTGCTCAAGCAAAGGTCTCATTCACTCACTCACTCAATCACCCCCTCCCCTAAGGAATTCCCTCCCTCCAGTAACAATGGCAACCCGAAGCAAGCAAAGTGTAGCAATGTTTGATGCTCAGACTGTTGCCTTCTGCTGAGCCTTAGAAAACATACCAGCACTGGGGTGGGGTGGGGGACTCCTGCAGTCTGCTTTGTTTTTGTTTTTTAGTGAAATATGACTACCAGTATTACAGGTCAAGTATAACAGAGGAGGAACAATCACTGTCAGAACCCTGCCTAACCTAACAAAAAGGAAGTTGCTTAAATGTTATCAACCTGCCCAAACTACTTATTTATTCAAATATGTATCTCAAGGCAGCTTACAAGTCATACTGAAAAGCGTCATAGGGCTGTGCAAAAAAAAAAAAATCCCCAACTCCATTGTAGCCTATGCTATGGGGACCATTATAGTCAATAGGCCCCATAGGCTATAATGGTGATTCAATCTGGGGGTATCTAGGGCTCGGGGGGGCTGTTTTGTTTTAGGTAGAGGCACCAAATTTGAGGCATAGCTGCTGGTGGCTCTCCTCAAAAACCCCTCCAAGTTTAAAAAAGATTGGACCAGAGGCTCCAATTCTATGGGTCCCAGAAGGAGGTGCCCCCATCCTCCATTGTTTCCAATGAAGGGGAAAAAAATTCTGAGCAGCTCACAACTCCTGAGCTGCCTGTTAAAATTTTGTGTGCCAGCACCCCCTAGTGCAGCTTAGAGGGAACTGTGCTTATAATACCAAAGTTTTGGCAGTTAGCTTATTCTTACGCATCCTGTCAAGAGATTCATCCATTTGCATGCTGCACAGCTCTTTCCACTTGAAAGGGAGGTCTTCCACTTTGGCACATGTTTCATTAGGGAGTACAGTTGTACAGAATCAGGTTTGCCTTCTGAGCGCCACTGCTGAGGCCATAGCTCAGCTAGTGCAGTCAACAAAGTGTCTAGCAGTGTTGCTCTGCTGCTTACTTTGATACCCTCAGCTTGAATCTCCTTAGCCAATGCTTTTTTTGTCATTGGGTACATCCAATTATGTGGACAGGAATAATTGATATTAGGACATTATCACACTATTAAGACATTATCATACACTGGCTACAATAAAGTCAAAACCCCTGACAAGTATCCCTTTCTACCTAGGCCATCCAGTTTCCTCCCTTCCCTGTCCAACAAGGAGGAATGAGTGCCTTCCCTCTGCTTGGAATGCATGACTTCTGCAACTAGGGAACTGGCAGGATGGTACATGAATAGGAATTCACAGTTCTCCTGTTGAACCCTATACATGTTATTCAGCTTTCCTGTAGAGGGATGCACCGAGGCAGGCCTAGTCCAGATGGAAGTGTGGCAGTCTCTAATAAACCCTGAAGAACTGGGAAGACAATTGGACCCAACGAGCTGGAGTATGCCACCCAGAGTATCAGATCCAAGGGTCTTGGATCTGATCAAACAATACCCAACTCTAAAGCCTTGGCCAACCTGACTAATTGCTCTGTGTACAGTCAGAGACCCTCCATCGGCACTACTGGAGGTGAATGCCCAGCCTTCTAATCCAGAGATTAGTGTTGGTGTTGGAGTGGTGTTGGAGCCAATACTGGAGCAACGTGGGAACCCATCCTCAGAGGTGGAACCCTTTGTGGATGGAATGAGAGCTGGAGGCAAACTCACTAATGTGGACATGCCTGGTGTTGGTTTTGGAGCTACAGGACAGACTCACGTGTGCTAGCAGTCTGGAGCACCCCACTGGGGTATATTAACAGGGATGGGCAGATAAGGAAACCAAGGAGGCTTCCAGAACATCAGAGCAATGGGAAGTACATCTGTGGCTGACTTAGACTTCTTTACATGGTTGGATGGAGTCAAGGGCCTGACTTCCTCAGTGGTGTCATCCAACTGTAATAGGCTATTGATCAGCTCCAAATAGGGTGACAGACTATGGGGAGGAGGGGCAAAAACCTCTAGATTTCAAGGATGCCCATTTTCTTGCTGAAGCAAGGAGTTAGACAGGTCCAATGAATGATTTCATGTTGACTTTGCCCTCTTCAAAGGTGGCTTGAAAGCATTTCTCAGAATCGAAGCCGACCTGTGAGTGTGTCATGTAGACATTTCCGAGGTGAGTGCCAATGGTGTGAACACCACGGAGGGTGGACAGGCCAATTTTTTTTTGCCTTCTGCAAGGTATTATAGCTAGGCCTAGAGACTGCAAATGCCTTTTCCCAAGGACACACTTTTAAACAGGAGGACCTTTCATGTCGGGCTTTGGGAATAAACTACCTGCAGACCACACAAGTATTAATATTGTGGGACTCACCCATGTATAATAGGGACAGTGAACAGTTGTTGGATTGTGCCATTTTTGTACCATATTCAGTACATTTTTTGAATGCTGCCATTGAGTAAGCTCACCAAACAAGAAGACGGCTGACAAAATTTGAAGGAAAAAATCCTTAGAAGAATTCTCCTCAGAAACAATTATCCTCACCAAAGCACAAAGAAAAGTATGATATCCTACCTCCATGGTGGCAAAGGAAAGACTGAGGGAAGAGTGCAACATCCTATGGCTGCCAACTTTGGCTTGGGGAAATTCCTGGAGATATGGCAATTGTGTCTGGGGAGGGCAGGTAGAACAGCAAAAATGTGGTGCCATAGAGTCCACCCTCCAAAGCTGTCATTTCCTCCAGGGGAACTGATCTCTAGCCAGGAGATCAACTGTAATTCCAGAAGAACTCTACCCTCTACCTGGAATTTAGCAACTCAACTCCCATGGCCTTTGTCACACATCAGTTTAGGCAGGAAGAACTGACTCAAGACGAGGGAAGGGGGAGCACACTCCTAGTGCTGTAGAAAAAGCTAGAAAGCTAAAGAGGTTTCACCTCCACGGCTGGCCTGTGTACACACACTCCCATGTGGGCCTGCACACATAGTATTTCTTGGTAAAATTACAAATTGTCTTTGTGGTTGAATGGGTGGACCAAAATCAGAGAATCAAAGGACTCAGAGAAAGGAATAACATGTCCCCCTCACACCATGAGAAAAACTTCTGCTGACCCTTTAGGGTTAGAGGAATTTGCTCCTGCAAAGATCTTTGATTTCCTCTTGGGTGAGCCACCTAAATGACTTTTCTGAGCAGGGCTGGGAAAACTTCAGCATGCAACAACCTCCCTGAAAGGGAATAAAGTTTGCACCCTCCTTTCCTGATAATTCTACCTCCTGCCTGTCAGAAGGGGGTACAGAGATCTCTAAATATCCCACCTCATCCAGTAATCCTGTGGAGCTCAGTAGAATGCTCTGGACGTCTACATCCAGTGTAGAACAAGAACCACCTGGGTTTACCACTGGTCCGATTTGTTCCATCTATCTGTGAAAAACCTGGTCTCCTTCCTCAGCTTGATCGTAGCCATAGCAACAGTGATGGCTGTGCTTTGTCCATCTGGCACAAGAACAGATGCTGAAACCAACTGAGTGGGAGGGGCTGTGCTTGGAACAACTGTGCCACTTCTTCCATCTGGCCACTCTCTTATGCTCAACTGCAGCATCCTTGTAAACTCCTTTCATTTACATACTAGCAGAAAATCATTGCCCTGACCTAGATGGCCCAGGCTAGCCTGATCTTCTGAGACCTTGGAAGCTAACCAGGGTCAGCCCTGGTTAGTATTTGGATGGGAAACTGCTAAGGAATTCCACGGTTGCTCTGCAGAGGCAGACAATGGCAAACCACTTCTGTTCATCTCTTGCCTTGAAAACCCTACACACCCAGAAAATAATTCACCCCTTCCTCATATAGAATTGTCACAGGGAGAAAAGAAACATTTTTTAAATTAGGTACAGAAACATTTAGTACAACTTGCATTATGGCCTTCCATAAGGAATTCTAGGTGGTGTACTTTCCTTCCCCATTTTACCTTCAAGACAATCCTGTGTGAGTGGTCAGACCAAGAGACCACCTTGATTAAGATCACCCAGTGAGCTTCCATGGCAGAATGGGGATTCAAACCCAGCCTTAGTGTGACATTCTAACTTCTGCACCACACTGGCTCATAAGAAAGCACTACTAGTAGCACTACTCCTATCCACAGTTTTCTGTAGCAAAATACAATAACAGTCACACCAGATAAATCTCCAGACCACCCAACCTTTTCTGCTAGTTCTTTCTTTTCTATGACTATAAATACATCTTACTGAAATTTCTATTAGTATGACATGCCTTATTCAAATTTGCTTTAGACTATATAACTGGTACAGCTGTTACCATAATAATCATTTATAACAATCAAGATACTAACAAAATAATGCAACACACTAGCCCACTATATAATGAATAAAATAATTTTAATTTATGTTTTTACAAAGGTTATAGAGTTGTCATCTACCTTAAAAGGACACCTTTCAGCAATCCACTTAATTTTAAGATTTTATACGAAGCCTGTGTCAATTAAACGCAAAAGATTAAGTATGAAAATATGTCAATACATTGTGGATACCCTTTTTATTATTATTACACTTTCCATTGCACTGTTTGAAGTAACACAATATAACTATTGTGAAGTAACACAATATAACTAGTCATTAATTCTGCCTTGAAGAGATTCTTAAAAACAGAGTCTGTTGGAGTATTTGTAGGTGCAAGCAACTTCTTTTTTAATCCAACTCCAGAATAACTGGCTAAAGGCCAGTTGCTGTCACAATGATGCCAGTAATATGCATTTGATTGTATGATTCCAGCACTTAAAAGAGCACATTGGTTGTACATGGCTTTAACCTTGGGCTACAATTATGCTACCAAGCTCAACTGGAGTCTGAATCAGTCATGTGGCACTGTGCACATCATCTGAACACGGTATAGAGTCCCTGGTTGTCCAGAGCTCATGAAGGTGCTGAAGGCGTTCTGAGGTTCTTGTGCTTATATTCAGGGCAGGGTGAACCTTACGAATGCCAGACTCATCCATTAATGACAGGCCACAGATCCCAAAGTATGCATGCAGAGCATCTGGAAAAGGAGAAACCAGAAGAGAGAGTATTATACAATAGAAATCAATCATTTAGGTAATTTTTCCATCATCAAGGATCTGGTCACTTATACAGAGATTGTTTTCCTTGATTCCTGACTTGGGTGCTTTTGGGAAGTGGATTTCCCCCCTTTCCCCACTACTCCACAGCACTGTGTTGCTTCTGTATACCTCCTGGGTTTACAGAAGCAACACCTTTTTTGTGATGTTTTCCCAAGCCTGCTTTCCTGTAGTGCTTTGGGAAAGATCATAGCCAAGCCAGGCTAGCACCCATGTGGATGGGAAAGTCAAGATCGTTTCAGTCCCACCCATGACAGCAACTTTCCCCTGCCCCAATGGGCCATCGTGGTAATTTCCTCCCTCCACAGAAGAACTTAGGGAAGAAATCAGTGACTGAATATCATTATATCAGTATATCAGGTTCTCTGAATTCTCAGGTTTCATTTTTTAAACAAGTAAGTCTCTAGCCTCTACCACTGCAGTGATATAAGGGGAAAGGCATATCTCAACAACAAAAGGTATGAGAGACTTGCTTGTTTAAAAAACAATCGCTGGGAATACAGAGAACCAGACTGACAGATCTTTATAATGAGGATGCTATAACAATCCTCCAAAGCCATTTTTTAAAAAATTGAAAAAGAACTGAACAGCAGGGAGGGAATGGCTGCTGCCAGGGGACTGGAACAGAGGAACCTGCCATGTGGAAGCCTCATTGTCACTGTACTGGCAGCTGCAGCGGGGAAACCACAGAACTATATCCCCATGTGAAAAACACCTCTTTCACTGAAAACCAATAGTTACTGCACCTTCATCATCCGACTCTCCTATTTGTGTTGGGGTGGGGTGGGTTAGAAGACAGAGAATGCACACGACAGACAGCCTAAGCATGCTCACACTGGAGTAAGAAATACAAAGCTAGGCAAGGTCACGTGATTTCACCTCAAAGTAACCTCCCACTGCATCTATTAAGACAACAGCACAGTCATTCATTTTTACAAGTCACAATTACAGTAAAAAGTCTCTTTTGTTTTTATTTTTTTTAGATCCAAAAGTATACTATACACCAATAACTTTAATTATAGTAATTATGTTTTTTCTTTTTTATACACTTTTTGTCTTAACCTCTATGTTGGAAAGAACTGAATATTTCAGCAAGAAGAGGATCTGTTGTTTTCCAGCATTTTTGCTGAACAAGAGTGTGGCTGACTACATTTAAAATGCTGTTTTCCTAATGCAGTAAAATCAGAGAAGGGAGGCGAACGGTTAACTCTGCTCTAGAATACTGAGCTTGAGTGACAGGCTGCTCCTTTTCTCTGACTGGCCAGTGCCAGCTGAGGGAAATATAAGATCAGCTATGTGCTGAGGGGAAAGGGAGTTTGTTGTGTGTTCAGCAGCAGTCACCATTCAGTAAAGTAAAAGTTCAGCTACAAGAGTGGATGTCTGAAGAGTCTGACTAAAAGTCTGTCAGACAGGTTCACCTTTTGAATAAAGGGAGAGACTCCTGGTCTTAGCTATGCTAAACATATCCTGAGAAAGAATTCCATCTAAGAATTCAGAGTCTAGTGTCAGCTAAAGCTGAAGTGCGTTTTCATACAAATGCCAAGAACTGGGATTTGAGATTTTGGCTCAGAGTGGCAGCAGGCTGAAGCACCCAATCACACCAAAAGGAACTGGTTTATATTTTTAGGTAAGAAATATAAGTCCTGTCCAGCTATACAGGGAATTGGCACTGAGGCAGTCCCTGGTCTGTGGTGAAAGGAAACAATGATAGACTACTCAGGGGAATGAAGAGGTTATTGAGAAGCACCTGGCTGCATTGAATGAGTACAAATCCCCTAGGCCAGATGGTATGCACCTAAGAGTGCTCAAAGAACTTTCTAGAGAGCTTGCAGAGCCTTTGTCCATCATCTTCCAGACCTCTTAGAGGACAGGAGACATGCCACAAAACTGGAGGAGGGCAGATGTTATCCCAATTTTCAAAAAAGGGAGGAGGGATGACCCAGGAAACTACAGCCCAGTCAGTCTGACCTCTGTCCCAGGGAACATACTGGAGTAGATTTTAAAGGGATCGATCTGCGAGCATCTAAAGGACAACTTGGTGATCTGGGGAAGTCAGCACAGCTTTGTCCCCAACAGGTCCTACCAGACCAACCTTATTTCCTTCTTTGATCAAATGACAAGCTTACTGGATCGAGGGAATGCTGTTGATGTTGTTTACCTGGATTTCAGTAAAGTTTTTGACAAGGTTCCCCATGATGTTCTGATGGATAGACTAAGGGACTATGGACTGGACTGTAGGATAGTTAGGTGGATAGGGAACTGGTTGGAAAACTGCACTCAGAGAGTAGTTGTCAATGGCATTTCATCAGAATGGAGGGAGGTGTCCAGTGGGGTGCCACAGAGCTCAGTTCTGAGCCCGGTACTTTTCAATATTTTTATAAATGATCTGGATGAGGGTGTGGAGGCTACTCATTAAATTTGCAGATGACACTAAATTGGGAGGAGCAGCCAACGCATCAGAAGACAGAGACAGAATTCAACAAGATCTGAACACGCTGGAAAAGTGGGCAGATGGGAACAAGATGCAATTTGATACACTAAAAGTGTGACCTTTCCAGAAAACCTGAACAGTTATTAGGAAACTACATACAAAAAGATTGTAAAATACTTAGTCAACCATCTCTCTCGGATAAGAACCAAGAATTTGTAAAAAAAATAAGCTGCTACAACACCATCTTTTCTGTCAACTGAAAAATATACCGTTTTACCAATGTTTACCTCAGCCTTTCCAACTCCTGACTACCCCTCCCAGTCTATTAAATTAAATCTTTATTATTGTTCACTGTACACAGTCTCCAGTGCCATTTCATGGGATCTATAAAGAGGGCCCGTTTTCTTCTGACAAGTTCCTGGGCTGGACAAAAGCCAAATCAGATTCTGTCACAGGGTGGGACATTCAGATTTATAGATTTATATATTATCATGCTACTGGGGGCCAGTTCAGTACTGAAGGGAACAAAGAATTTTGGCAGGAAAAATCTGTCTCACAGTGAAGAAGCAGCAGAAAAAATATTGCAAATACCAGCTAGCCAAGGGAGCATAAAAGGTAGTGGAAGCACCTGAATTCACTTGCAAATATTTGCATAAATTATTGAATTCACAATGGAAGAGAATTTTAATTGCTTGCATGGCAACTTCCTAAATTTCTGCCTGGCAAATTTTCTTCTATATGTTGTTGAAGGTTTTCACAGCCAAAGTTCATTCGTTGTTGTAGATTTTCCAGGCTGTATGGCCGTGGTCTTGGCATTGTAGGACCTGACATTTCGCCAGCAGCTGTGACTGGCATCCTCAGAGGTAAAGCACAGAAAGATGGAGTACTCTCTGTGTCAAGGTGAGAAGAAAAATGGTAGGCACGTAATTTATAAACGAACATGAAAGACACTGCAGACTGGGCCAACCTGAAAAATCAGCAATGGCTGAACATAGCCTAACTCAAACAGGACACAGTATCTTATTCCAAGACACTGGAAGGCAGGACAACACATCCAATTACCACGTCAGATTACACAGGGAAACCAATGAAATTCATAAACATAAACACAATTTCAACAGGAAAGAAGAGAGTTTAAAAATAAATAGGGCATGGTTTCCTGTCCTGAAAAACACAAAATGCTCTACATTTATAACAGCACTACAGATAAAATTAGAATTTCAACAGCCAATCCATATGCAAAAGAACCTCCTCAGGAAAGCTCCTGTTAGCATGTCACAGCCTAGGGAACTCCTAAAGGATAATGACTCAGCCCCACCCCACCTTTCTGAGTAGATATAAATTACCTGCCTACCATTTTTCTTCTCACCTTGACACAGAGAGTACTCCATCTTTCTGTGCTTTACCTCTGAGGATGCCAGTCACAGCTGCTGGCGAAATGTCAGGTCCTACAATGCCAAGACCACGGCCATACAGCCTGGAAAATCTACAACAACTAATAATTTTTCTTCTCTTACATAATGAAAGCATACAGATTTAGAAACTGTTTCCTTCTGTTACCTTAGGTTCTACACACAATTCCCATATTATTCTCCAAATACAATCCTCATAATTAAAAATCTGCACTATTGCCTAAAGCCAACACAAGTATTTACAGGTGCCTACATGCCAGCACAATTCAATGACACTCAGAAAGTACAACAGCTCTGTGAATGTGACTGTTTCTGGCTAGATGCATCTGCATATGAAAATTTTCCCAGCATAACCCTGTCTACAACTTGCTCTTTATATACAGACTAGCAGTAAAACCCGTTGTGGAAATAAATACAACAGGATCTAGAAAGAGGCTCTGGGGCAGTGCTCTGGCTTTGGGCAAACAGTGTCATTTTGCTGTGGTGACCTCAGCAGGGTATAATGACAGAGTCCACTGTTTTCTCCAGAGGAACTCATCTCTGCTCCCTGAAGAGCAGTTGTAATTTTGAGTGATCTGTAGCCCTCACCTGGAGATTGGCAACAATTGTTACCCAGGACGAAATGGCTGGTTTGGAGGTTGGAATCTATGGCATTCTACCTGTCTGAGGTCCCACCCCTCCGCAAACCCCACCCTCTCCAGGCTCCACCCCTCAAATCCCCAGGAATTTGCCAGCCTGGAGTTGGCAACCCCATCTCCTTCCCAGCTAACCATCAACCTACTATTATCTGCCCCTTTGACTTCAGCTGACTTCCGCCCTCCCTTCTGCAGAGCAATTGTAATTTTGAGTGGTCTCCAGCCCTCACCTGGAGATTGGCAACAATGGTTCCCCATGAGGGACTGAGTGGTTTGGAGGGTGGAGTCTATGGCATTGTACCTGTCTGAGGTCCCACCCCTCCTCAAAACCTCACCCTCTTCAGGCTCCATCCCTCAAGTCTCCAGGAATTTCCCATTGGGAGTTGGCAACCCTATCAGGATTGGCCCCAATATGTTTTCTCCCAAAGGCCAAAGTAGGTGAC